CCCTCCGTTGACCTCCTGAAGTGTGGTTCTGGTAACATCTCTTTCCCGCTCAAAAGTCTTCCAAGGCTTCACATTATTTCCCAGTAAACTGAAAGCTCTGTGGGATGGAACTCAGTGTCATCAGCCCACTGTTACAGTGTCATCTCGAATGACTGCATCTTGTGCTGCTTTTAAGTTGCACTTACTCCTTATCTGAATCCGGTGCTTTTCACTCCAGCAGTTTGATGCATGTATTTCTTTCTAATAAGGACGCCTTCACCTGTGTCTCCACCTACCAAAATCCTTAACATCCTCCAAGGGTTGTCGGCTCCAACGCTACTCTGTTCAAGTTACTTAGCTACATTATGTCGCATTTGGTACATCTGTCATTTACTCACTCTCCTCTTTGGGTCTGTCTAGAATTCTGTTTTCTTATGGGTGTTATCACATGCCACCTTGTAGTTTGCTATTAGAATACATGTATGTTTGCCCTGTCATGTCCAAATCTCCTTGTAAGTGGAGAGCAGGGCTTACCTCGTCTCACATGTTGGTCCACGCAGAACACAGACGGCCTAGCGCAGAGTGCTGTGTGTGACGTGCGCAGAGTGCCAGGTGTTCAACACCTGATTTAGTGACTGATATAAATGAATTTTGTTCTTTTGTTTGTTTTTTCATTTTATTCATTCATCTCTTGAAACATCTTGAAAGCAGGTTCAGCTCACATAGAAAATATCCCATAGTGTTCTTTGTATGGACCATTGCTCTCAGCCAGAGTATTTCTCAGCTTTTTTTATATTAAAGGGTGAAATGAAAGGTTAGGAGTTAGACGTGCATTTGATCTTTTCCTGACTTTTGTGTGACTTCAAGCATGTCACTTGAACCTCTCAATGACCTCAGCTGTGAAACAGGGCTGCCTGGTGTAACAGAGGGATTTCGAAGAGCAGCAAATCACAGTTCTTGTGTGAACAGAGTCACCTGCAGGGCTCTGATGCCTGCATGGGCTGATGAGAGAAATACAGTTTCCCAAGTCAGTGGTCAGTTGGACCAGTGCTTTGAGTAGATGGGAGTCCTTGAAGATCTGTTACTCCTCCTACTCAAAATATTTTTACTTTTGCACTTCTAAATGTTTCTTTTTTTAGACAAGGAAGGTGTATTGTAATGTTTCCCTTTTCAGACTCTAAATGTGGGAAAATATCACTTCAGATAATTTTAGAAGCAAGTAGAATTTTGGGAAAAATAGAAGTACCATGCATTTTTATTTTATGCTACTGAATTTAGAAAAATTTCTGCCTCAAATAGAGCATTTTTGAATGATACCAATATTTTAAAAATAAGTATTTGATATGACTATATATGTAATTCATGAAATGTGTTTCTAACTTGCTTTTTGGGCAGAACATTGGAGGTAGGACAACCCCAAACAAGTAGAGCAGAAAACAAATAAAATACTATTAGTCATCTTGCAAAGAGGACCTTTTTTTTTTTTACCATTAATATACTCTATAAAAGCTTTAAAAGAATAGAGCTTAATAGAATTTCCCAGTATTATTTATTTTCTGATTGGAAAAAGTCCACTCAGGAAATCTCATAGCATTGCATATAGCATGTGCTGATTATCATTCTTTGACTGTTTGGGGTTTCTGCTGCTTTTAAACTAGCATTTAAATGGACCATTTGATTAATCATTTGTATACTGACTGTAATCCTCCCAAATTTCCTTTCTGAGTTGTACATACTGTAAAAGACAATTATGTTGGCACAGATTAAATAAGCGAATTAAAACAGAATAGCAGCTTAATTTGACCTGTGATTTTGTTCTCCTTCCCTTTAGTGGAGTGTGTGCCACTCCAGCAAATAAATGAAGTCATCCATGACAGGTCGTGATGAATTGCCGTATTTATACTGTATATTTTAATAGCCTCACACTAATTTAAATTGAGCCCAGAGTAAATTATAATTCAGTCACTTGACTGCTTATATTTAACTTGACAACTCATCCCTATTTGTCCTGGAGGTGTAGTGAAGAGCAGGGCGCACTCAGGTATTGCAGTCTCGCACTTAACCCTTTCTCCACAAAGTGGTTTGCGTTCAGGGTCTCTCCGGTTTGAAAAATGTAGCTCTTCCTAAGGAGAAAAACAGTGATAATAATGAAAACTTAGGAAGCCCCCACTTCCCTTGTACTTCAAAAAGAAAATCAGTATTTCCATGCTTTCTCCCACTGCCTTCAAAAAGGGAGTTGGACCTGTTTATTTTCAGCAGTTTTAAAGCTGACTCACAAGAATGCCAGGGAAAGGAGGGGTAACCTTCCGCCTGGAGAACCAAGTCTCCCAGAAAGTGGAAGAGCATTTCAGTAGCTATTTTCAGGCGGACTTGACTTTCCCTCCCAAGTTCCCAGAAATGACTTTACTCATTTTCCTGCCAGTATGGAGCCTTCACTGTTCTGGCCTGTAGCGAGGACGGAGGATGATCAAGACCTGCTGGAGTGCGATGGGTTGGCTCCACAAATACAGTATTACTTACTACATTTTAGGTCACTGTGGTGCTTTCGTTCATTTTGGTATTTCTGTCTTTGGTTTTAAATCCAGTTTTAAAAGTCAAGCAATCCATTTCCTTTCTGTCTAGAAACAGCATCTTATTTAGAGGATTATGGTTGTAGGGAGCAATTTAATTAAATCTCCCACCACTTAATGGCCACTAGTGTAAGACCCTGCGCAGGGTGTTGGGTGTGGAGCAGGGGGCTAGAGAAAAATGCACAAGACTCACCCTTTGTCCTTAAGGACCTCACAACCACTCGTTACTCTGTAGATTTCTGTTTTTGGAAGGTGAGGCATGGATGCTAAAGACAAATGTGAGAAGAAAAGTAAAGGGCCAAAGCTAGAGGTACATTCTGATGCAGGGCTTTGGGGCCGGCTTCCTGAAAGACAGAGAAGGGGGTACAGTCAGTGGCCGTGGGCAGAGAGAGGACGTGCACCTCACATGGACCAGTAGCAAAGACTGGAAGTGGGGGAAGTCACGGGGTGTGTGTGGGTCAGTGAATATCATCTGGTTTCCCCTGAGGACTGAGTCGGTGGTGGAGAATAGTGAGAGGAGCTAAAATAACAAGTTGGAACTAGATTGCAGGAGAAATCATTGAATGCCATGCTAGAATTTTAATTTTATGCTAAGCTATAGGAACCCAGTTAAGGTTTTTGATCAAGGGAATGGTATGTTTACAGCCAGTAGTTTGAGGTTAATTCCTGTGTGTTGCTAGCCACGCGGAGTCATGTCTTTTTTAGATCGGGAGCCTGGAGATGCAACATAGCTTAGTAGTCATACTGAGCACTGAGCAAATGTGTTTTTGAAACCTTAAATAAGGGGTTCTCAATCTTACTGTGGGTTAGAAATCACTTGACAAGTTTTTTTAGAAATACTAAGAGGTAGGTCCAGCTTCAGAGATTCTGATTCCTTTATGCCCATGCATCAGGGTTTATTTAGAGCACCCTTACATAGTTATGTAAATACTTTTAAATAAAGGTAATTTTAATATGAGGCTAGGGTTGAGAACCACCGATCTAAGGTAAATAATAACTTAATTCCATTTAGCAGAGTTTTCTAGGATGAAAGGTTCACTGTACTTGACACAGCAGTGTGAATAGCACCAATATTTCATAGCATGGACTTAAAACAACACTAGGTGAATTTATTTAGTTGCTAAGTTTTACACAGAAGCAAAAATGTTGAGTGAATATTGTTGGCAAAATGACTATTGATCTGGAGAAGTGTTTCTTGGCAGTTCTGTATTACACTTACAGACTAGTTTAGTGGGAGCTTTTATAAATAACCCTAAAGCTAATTCTGGACAGAAACTAGCTATGTCTTTTTTTTCTCTTCCCCTCCCTCAAGTGGGTATCATTACTATAAAACGTGTAGAATCATCCTTTCCTCTTTCTGTCAGGAGTTTGCAGTTCATAATTTATGGATGTTTCCCTCCAGTGTGAGTGTACAAGTGTGTATTGTGCCATAACCGTGATACAAAATGTAGTTCAGTGTTGGATGGTGCGTAACTACACCATCGTGGGAAACCTGGATGTTCAGTTCTTATCTGGAAATGGCTAGAGCCAGAAACTGCCCCAAATCTTAAAATTGTCTTCTATCTATTCTCATCACTGTCTTTTTAAGTCAAAAACAATTTCTCTTGAGTTGGCTTCATTGAAGTGCTAAGTAAAATTTGAACAGTTGATGGTCTTCTTCCTTAAACAATAGTGTTTGAAATAAACTAGAAGTTATTCTAGGTAAGTTTATAAGTAAAGTGTTTTCCATTTCTGCATTATGAATCTGACAAAGCAGTTGATATTTCGAGGAAAACCAGGAAGCATCAGTACGTGCTGGAAAGTCTTCAGTGTCAGAAAGGACCCGACACTGCTGGGCTGTGAGGCTCCACAGAAGCCCGGCTTCCTCCTCCGAAAGAAGGGGATGAGATGAAACAATTTCTGAATTTCCTTCAAGCTCAACATTTTGTAACATTATTAGCCAAGAAACATTGTGCAGCTGAAAGAATAAAAAAAAGAAGATATATTTTAAAAACTTCCTACTTCCTCTTAAAACGAAAAACTGTACTTTAAATGGCATTTTTACTCATCATCCTCTCCTGCTTATTGCCCTGTGTCTGAATTACAAGGCAATCTCTTTAATGGTTTCAGGGTCACTCCTATCTTCCTCTTCTGAAAATAACCAATGTGGCCAAAATAGGGTGTATAAATTAAGGGTGTTATAACTTAACTGACTTTTAAAGCCATTAATACTGACCTTTAAGACCTGCCTTTTTCCTTGGCCCCATCAATCACTTCCCTACCACCTCCCCCAGTACAAAGGGGTAGGCAGATGTGGATACACTTTGCATCACTGGGGGTTGTAACGGCGGGAGGAGAAGGGGGAAATGAATGGAGGAAACGCCATATTTTCACTTTTATATTTATTTCAAGTATAGCTGTATTTAATTTAAAGGTGAATAAATGTGTCAATGTATTTCTTTCCACATTTAGGTCATACTACTAGATATTACACTGGAACTGCAAAAGCAAATTATGTCTGAATTGGAAATTCTTTATAAGGTGATTTTTTCTTTGTCATTTTTTTCTTATAAAGCATGCCTGTGGTATTGACTTGCAGGTTTTTAACTATTATTGTCTTATTTTTGTTACAGTGTGATTCTTCATATATCATAGGATTTTATGGTGCATTTTTTGTAGAAAACAGAATTTCAATCTGTACAGAATTCATGGATGGTGAGTTATCCCTTTTATAATACTTCAAAAATGATTTTTGGTGGGAGTGCTTTATAACCTGGTTTTGATATAAATGTCAAGTAGAATGAAAAATAATTAAAATATACAAATAATTTTATTATTTATACTCTAAGCCATCTTAGGAGTTTCTGGTGTTAAATATTTACAGGTGACCTATAATTTCAAGAATGTAATTTCATTTACTTTTATTGAAAATTTAAATAGAACAAATTAAATACTAGTCAGATTGGTGGTTTGATATTTGATTCTTCCATACAATCTGTCTTTCCTTGCAACACAGATGTTCTGTTCTTTTAATGTTTCAATAGTCAAAACAAACTTAGTTTTAAAGAAATCTATTAACCCAATGTCCTGTGTCTTTTAGAAAGAAAACTGTTAATTGCAAGACAAATTGTTTTTCAACACAGCTGTTTAGCCAAGATGTGTTTAGTTTCCTATGGACTCTAGCCCTTTCTCTTCTTTATTTTTTCATTCATTTCCAGTTTGGTAACTCTTTCTTGATCTGAATATTATGGTAAAATGCAGATTTTTTGGTACCGTATCAGTGAAATTATGTCATCATTGTTATTTTTACCCATTTTAAATCAAAGAAGTCTTGAAATTGTACATACTCACTTCTGCAGTGTCTGACCCATTCAAATTCAACCTTTTAAAATATATTTAGTTCATTTGGGGAGTTCTCAGTATATTTCTGAAGCAATTATATCATGCTCTACAAGACTTTAATGAGCCAACATTGATACCTATAATAAGGTATGTAATGTGCTTTAAATCAATTATAGTGGATGCTAAGAATCATAACTCATAACCATAATGAGCAGTGTAACAATTACTAATCTAGGAGATAGACTATAAAAAGTAGATTCATGGAGCCAGTACATGTTGGTATTTTATGACTTTTTATCATTCTTTTTTGAAGTACTCAATTTTTCAGTTACATTAAAAAATTTCTTTATTGAGATGGTATGTTCAAACACCAGAAAATTCACCCTTTTAATGTGTACAAATTCAGTGGCTTTTACTATATTCACAAGGCCGTGCAGCCATTATCATTAATTCTAAACATTTATAAACATACTCCCTACCAATCAGCAGTCACATCCTACTCTCCCTTCCCTCTAGTCCATGGTAACTGTTAACCTTTTTTTTTCTCTGTGGATTTTTCTATTTTGGACATTTCACACAAATGGATATTTATAATATGTGGCTTTTGTGTCTGGCTTCTTTTGCTTAGCACAGCATTTACCAACTGGTGCGCTGCAAGAATTTTTAAAGCATGCACGACCTGACTGTTTAGTCAGGGCACTGACCTCTTTTCCCTTAGACAAATAAAGAATGACAACAGCCAACACAACAGTGGTTGTCCAGTGTGAATGCCTTGCCCTGAACCATAAATATATAGGTCATATAATGGAGTCACATCTTACTGGTCATGTTGCATAATAAGGTTACATCTGATTGGTTTATTCTTGGTAGCAGAAATCTTTATATACAAGGCACCTGATTTTTTTAAAAAGTAACTTTGGAGCAAAAAGGGTAGCCAATTACTATTATTATTATTTTTTCAAAATCAATCAAAATCATGTCTATTCTTTTGTCCAATCAGCAAGAAATATTTTTTTGGTGTGCTGCAGAATTGTAGTAATTAGTTTATGTGTCCTTGTCATGAGATGAAAAAGGTTGAAAAATCTCTGATTTAGCATAGCGTTCTCCAGGTTTATTCATGTTGCATTATGTGCCATTACAGCCATGTGCCACATACAACGTTTTAGTCAACTTTGGGCCACAAGGAAACGACCGTGGTCTCATAAGATTATCACGGAGGTGAATTTCCACTAAGAATTGGAAAGACACATGGTTCAGAAGGAATTGTCCCCCCTTTGGTGGGAGCAGTGTCTGTGGGGCTGGGCAGCAGATCCCCTCTCACTCACAGTACCTCCATTTCAAATGCACAGACCACATTCCAGGCAGCTGGCCACTGCCCTGCTCCAGCGCAGAGGACTCCCCCCGCCCTGCCCTGCACATTGAGGGTGCTTACTCCCTCCCAGATGAGGCTGATGGACTTAAGAGTAATTTGCTGTAAATTCTTCATCAAGGACCCAAGGTCCTGTGCAAGGACACAGGTCCACGGAAGCGACCTTAACAAGTCTTACATGCTACTGCCACTCTACTGAGAGACTTCTCTGGTAGTGTGGAGCCAGCCTGTCTGTGTACTTTGGAAATATTTTCAGGTCAAAGTAATACAGAGCATACTTAAGTTTTATTTCTTTCATCATTTCATTGCTAGAGAGAGCCCTTTGTGCCAGATAGGATCGATGGAACCAAATACAAATTTCTAAAGTCAAAAATATTGAGTCCTCAGTTCTGTGCCCTCACCATGTTAAACACCCTCACTTTTAGCGAATACCTTAAAGTTCCCTAATCTGACCACTGCTCAGCATGCAGTAGCCAGAACCACGCTGCCATACAATCCTCTATGTTCCTTTATCTCTCCATCTTGATTTCTTTTTTTTAAAGATTTTATTTATTTATTTTAGAGAGGGGGAAGGGAGGAAGAAAGAAAGGGAGAGAAACATCAGTGTGTGGTTGCCTCTCACATGCACTCCCTACTGGGGACCTGGCCTGCAACCCAGGCCTGTGCCCTGACTGGGAATCGAACTGGTGAGCCTTTGCTTCACAGTCTGGCAATCAATCTACTGAGCCACACCAGCCAGGGCTCCAATCTTGATTTCTTTTTCCTACTGATGCTCAAGAAGGATCACTTTCTTTTCCTCCCTAATGGTGATCTATGCCAGTCAGTTTCTCCTTGGTATTTGCAGTTAATCTAGTCCACATTTCTGTATGTTTAGCAGCATTGACAGCTTCGATGTTTTATATTTGGTCCTATCAGAGGGAAGCAAGGAGAGGGCTTGTGGGAAAGTGTTTCTGAAATCCATAGTAGTGTACAGAGATATCTTAGACCCTCACAATTCACTCCCCACTCACTCAGTCACTCACCTAGAGCCACTTCCAGTTCTGCAAGCTCCATTAATGGTCAGTGCCCTGTATAAGTATACCATTGTTTAATCTTTTATGCTGTATTTTTACTGTTCCTTTTCTATGCTTAGATACCCAAATACTTTTGATTGTATTGCAGTTGCCTACATTGCTCAGTACAGTAACATGCTATGTAGCTTTGGAGCCTAGGAACAATAGGTGACACCGTACAGCCTCGGTGTGGTGGGCTGTGTGACCCAGGTTTCTGTAAGTGCCCTCGGTGATGTTTACAGGGTGAAATTGCCAAATGTGCATTTCTCAGAACGTACCCCATCTTTAAGGGATACATGACTGAACTCCATTCCTTTTTATTACTGAGATTTTGTTTAATAATGTATTAGTTGATGGACATGTGAATATCTTTAGTTTTTAGCTATTATGAATATCGCTGCTATGTATATCTGTGTTCAGGTTTTTGTATGGACGTGTGTGCCGTTCTCTTGAGTTTATACTGGGGACTGGGATTGCTGGGTCATGTAGTAACTCTGTATCTGTAACGTTTTGAGGAGCCACCTGTTTCTTGTTATTTCACACCAGTGTGCGTTCACACCTGCCATACATGAGAGTTTCAGTTTCCACATCTTTGCCAGCACCTGTTATTGTGTGTCTTGTATTATAGCCTAGTAAGTATAAAATGGTATCATATTTTAGTTTTGATTTAGACTTCCTAATGATGTTAGCCATCTTTTCACATGTGTATCGGCCATTTGTGTATCTTCTTTGGAGAAATGTGTATTCATATCCTCTGTCTCATTTCTTGAATGGGTTATTTGTGTCTTTATTGTTGAACTGTAAGAATTCTTTATGTATTCTGGATATCAGGCTTGTATCAAGTGTGGTATTTGCAAGTATTTTCTCCCACTCTGTGGGTTGTCTTTTCACTTTCTCAGTAGTGTTTGATGTACACAACATTTTGAATTCGATGAAGTTCAGTTCACCTGGGGTTTTTTTTTTTTTTTTGGTTGCTTATGCTTTAGATGTCATAGATAAGAAACCATTTTTTAATCCAAGGTCATGAAAATTCACATCTGTTTTCTTCTAAGAGTGTTATAGTTTTAGCTCTTACATTTAAATCCTTGATTCATGTTGAGTTAATTTTTGTTATATATGGTGTGAGTTGAGATCCAGAGTTATTCTTCTGCATGTGGGTATCCAGTTGTCCAAGCACCATTTGTTAAGGTTATTTTCACTGAATTTTCTTGGCACCCTTGTTGAAAATTAATTGACCATAAAATGTATTTGTGTTCCTTCAATTCTATTCCATTCTGTTTTTTTGTTCTTGTCTCAGTACCACCCTGTATTTGCTACTTTTACTTAATTACTCTAGATCAGTGATTTTCCACCTCTTTCATCTTATGGCACACATAAGCTAATTACTAAAATTCTGTGGCACACCAAAAGATATATTTTTTCTTTTCTGACCAAAACATAGGTATAATTTTGATTCATTCACGCCAGATAGATATTGTTGTGTTGGCTGTTGTCATTTTTTTAATTTGAAAATCTAAGGGAAAAGATGTCAGCATCCCCAAATAAACAGTCAGGTATTGCATTTTTTTAAATTCTTGCGACACACCAGTTGAAAATTGATGTCCTAGATTATTGTAAGTTGTGATAAATTTTGAAATTGAGTATTCAATTTATTCAATTCAAAAGATAATTCTTTTGTTAAATATATTTCTAAATATTTTATTTTTGATGTTATTAGTAATAAGTTAAACTTTTTAAACTTCATTTTTGGGTGGTTCATCACTAGTATATAGAAATACAAATGATTTCTGTATATCGATATTATATTCTCCTGCCTTGCTGAACTCGTTGAATTCTGATAGCTTTTTGAGGATTCCTTGGGGTTTTCTGTGTAGAACTTCAGGTAAATAGAGATAGTTTTACTTCTCCCTTTCCAGTCTGGTTGCCTTCTTAAAAACATTGCCCTGGCTAGA